GCCAAGACCTGAACTTCAAGCAAGCTGGGTCCATGACGTGTGAAGTTTCTATGGAAACCAAACATATAAGAAGACAGGGCTTCTAAACACATTCCTTTGGGGTCATCCTTGAGTCTGCTCCTTCTCTCACCCTCCAGGGCAATCCTGTAGGCTCTACCTTCCAAATATTATATATTCGGAGTCCCACACTTCTCTCCACACTTCTGTTTGGTCCAAGCCATTCATAATTTCTTGCCTAGATTGATCTGGATTAGATCCAATTGATCTCTCTGCTTCCACATCATACCCTTTGTGTTTTTTAAAAAATTTAATTAAATCTAATTTTTTCTAACTCCATATCCACTGGAGTTCCCTGTCCTTTTATTTATTTATTTATTTTGAGACAGAGTCTCACTTTGTTGCCCAGGCTAGAGTGAGTGTCGTGGCATCAGCCTAGCTCACAGCAACCTCAAACTCCTGGGCTCAAGGGATCCTCCTGCCTCAGCCTCCCAAGTAGCTGGGAATACAGGCATGAGCCACCATGCCCAGCTAATTTTTTCTATATATATTAGTTGGCCAATTAATTTCTTTCTATTTATAGTAGAGACGGGGTCTCGCTCTTGCTCAGGCTGGTTTCGAACTCCTGACCTTGAGCAATCCGCCCACTTTGGCCTCCCAGAAAGCTAGAATTACAGGTGTGAGCCACCGTGCCCAGCCTCCCTGTCCTTTTAAATGAAAGTCATATCATACTGCTTTGTTTTAAATCCTCCAAAAGCTCATCCTTTTGCTCAGAGAAAAAGCCAAAATCCATACAATGGTTCATAAGTAGAGTGACAGCATAATTTATCCTTCAAATAGGGACAGTTTTGAGAGTAAAAGGGGAATTATTACACATTGTTCCAGAACAATAGCACTCAACAGGACTACGCCAGGCACGTGTATGGCCACCATACCTGTAAAGCCTTCCATCATTGTCCACACCCCAGTTTCCTGTTGGCCCTCAACACCCTCCAGTGTCACCCTCGCTTTCTCTGTTCCACCTAAATAGACCTCCTTGTGTTCTTTAAATATGCTAAGCATGCTTGTACCTCAGGGCCTTTGCACTTGCTCTCTCTGCTAATTGGAGTGCTCTTCCCCCAGCTGTGTACAAGGCTCACACTCTTCTTTCCTCTGGTCTCTGCTCAAATGTCCTCTCACTAGCGAGGTCCTCCCTGACCATCCTGTAAGTTCAGCGACCTCATTTCCCCTCCCCACCCCCAGTGTTTTTATCCCTCTCATCCTGCCGGACTTCGGCTTTATTTATCACCACCTGTCATGTTACATATTTACCTTTTATTGTTTATGGTTTGTTTTCTCCCACCAGAATATAAGCTCTCCAAGAGCAGGACTTGGTTTTGTTCATGATTATATTCCCAGCTCCTAAAACAGTGCTAAAACAGTGCTTATCATGTAGGAAGCACTAAATAAATATCCACCAAAAGAATGAATGTGTGCTTAAGGCAAAGAGACACGGAAATCATAGCATTCCTTGCAGAAAAGCAAGAGATATTTATGTTTACGTCCTTCATGTGAAACAGGAATAATTTATCAATGGGAAGTGTGGCCATGTTATCTTTGTACCATAAACTCATTAACACATATGTCCACAAGGAATAGTGTCAACAAAAACAAAACCCAGCAAACTGTTGTACTGAGAACTACGGATTGTTTTTGGCTTTTTAAGGTTCATATTTGTTTGCATCTTGTTAATTTATCTTGTGCTCCTTTTGTTCTCGCAAATGCTAAAGGAATGCAATGTTGGAGAAAAGCATGTAATTTTGGACATTTGCTCCCATTAATTTGACTGTTTCCATGAAAGAAAGCTACTGTTAGATTTTGGTCATAGAAAACCCAAGAGTGTTCTGCTGACTTGGAGCTTAAGAACTACTGTATTAAACCATTAATGGTTTCAATGTAAATTCAATGTAAATAGCCAATTCAATGTAAATAGCCCTTAGAGACCTTTTCCTTTATTGTCCATACAAGGACATTGGGATCGAGGATAGTTGTCACTTGTCTGAGAAGGCCAGGCTCCTGTAAGAGTGTAACAAATGCCATTTTATAGTAATATCTAAGAACACCCTGTCTTTGCATCCTCACCAACATTGAGACTTGCACAAAATATTAGTCAATTTAACAAAAGGAAAACTAACATCTCATTTGTTAGAATTGCGTTATAAATTATAGTTATAATTTTTATTTATCGATTTAAGCAATTCGTTTCTAGGGAGATTGACTTTTTTTTTCTATCCATCTTTACTATTTGAGTTTCTTCTTTTGTAAATTTCTATTAATATCTTGTGTCAATTCAGCCATTGTGCTAGCTTTTTTAATTTTGAACTATCAGAGCTCTTTCTGTAGGTAAGAGCTCTTATTATATTGTAGATGGTCACTTGGACTTTTGTTCTGATTCCTTTTTGATACATAGAAGATGAGCACCTAAATAATTTCCTTTGTAATTTTTTTGACTTTGTTCTTATATTTATAAAGTTTTCTATATCTGTGTGTATATGGAGGAGGGGGGGTTGGTCGTACATGTGTCTGTGGGTATCTATGTATTTTTGTTGCTCTGGTTGTCACTAAGTGAGGATAAAGATCATATGGGTAACAGTTTACTACATACACAGTACCCTGTGTCTTCAGCCAGTCAGGCAGGGAGTAAATCATAGTGGCTTTCTTGTGTGGGTCAGATTGGTTTGGAGTGGCCTCCATGGGCCAGGAGGCATCCCACTGTGACAGTCCTGGTCCTATATGCTGTGAGATAGCCAATTCCAGAAACAAGAAAGGTGGGAGTTCATCATCACATGCCTTTTTACCTTTCTTGTCCTTTTTTTTAATGCTTCCATTATCCCATTCCAACTTGCTCTCCTTTCTAAACTTCTGTTGTTGAACAAGTTTGTAGGAATTGGGGTAGATTTGTCTTGAGAAAAGGCAGCTGCAAATTTATTGTAAGTTTCCCAGAGGTGGGACTATATTTTACTCATTTTTGAATTCTCCAAGCCTACTAGAATGCAACACATACATTCTGCATTGTCGAGTAAGGTAACATAATTTTGAACCTAAAGCAAATAAGAAACGTCTTCGAGAGTACTGATACACAAGTCATGAATACAAGTATACACAAGTCATCAATTCATATGTATACTTGACATGATTTTAATCAAAGTTGAGAACTTTGAGTGAGACACAAATAACAGCAAAAAATAAACAGTAAAATCAGCTACTGAGGGAAGTTATGGAATCTCTTTCCCTAAAACAAATTAAAGGCAATGGCTCTGTTGGAGCATTTCTGCTTTTGTTATTGGTCTTGAGGTGGAACATAGAATAGCTAATCTTGTAGGACTCTTCCAGATTTCTGATGCTATCAAATTTGGCCAGAAAGACTTAGTGAGGTGAGACAGATTATTAGTGGTCACTCAGTCTTTGCAGCAACCTTTTTCTGTCTGAGCAAGTGACTTCCATTCATGGGCCTCTCCCTGTACTAACCTTCTCCCGGGAAAGGTCTTGACCCTAGCCAGCAGAGATGGAAGGTTCTATTACTTATATCAAATACATTTTTGCTAGAGACCTGCCTTCCTTTGTGCCTGTGTTTGATGACCAGCATTTGTCATTGCCTCGAAATTATTATTTTGTAAAACCTGGGGTTGTGCAGGCTCTTTGGAAGCACAACCACCCATAGGAGTTCTGAACCTCACTTTCTCCTTGATTCAAGGGTTGGGTCTGTGCTACCTGCTGTGTTATTTATCTAATGTCAGCTCGCTGTGTGCTTAGAGCCAGAGAATCACTGCTCGGCTGGGGAAGGGGTATGCCTGCCTTCATGTCAATCACAGATAGCCACGACACTAGACACACTGCTTGCCTGGGTAGGGCATTGGCCTGGTTGATCAGGTTCTCTCTAGCAAGCTTGTCTGTCCCCCACACCTGCAGCTATTTCCCGTCCATCCCTCAGTGGCCAGGTCTGGCCTGGTTGTGGCCCAAACTGCTCCTGTGGCCATAGCTCAAGGGACTATACTTAACCATGTCCCGCAATGCTGCCATTACGTATGGGGGAAACGTAACATCAGCCAACGCAAAACAACCCTCTCAATTGAGAAGAAGCATGGTCTATGGAGAGCAAGGTGGTTTGGCCTCAGCTGTGAGCTCTCACCACTCGCCACCATCTTTAACACCATTTATATCTTCTCCATTTCTTGATCAAAATCTATGCCCCTTTTCATTGCAGGCCTTCTAAAGAACAGCTCAGCAGATGAAAAGATAAGCGATTTAAAATGTGTAAAAGATGCCAAATTCTGGCAAGGCACGGCGAGATGGATGACAAAGGCCAGCCTCTGGAGCTGAGAAATCTCCAAGTAAGATTTATTATTCCTAAGCTAGATGAAGCCGGCTGTATCTTGCCTGGGTGTCTGTAATTGATCATGTCCCTTCAGCATTCGTAAACAACAGACTCTGGTTGTTATAAGCAGAAAAAGAACTTGTTTATAGGATGTGGGATTATCATGGAATAACAGGGAATTAACAGGGAAGACAGAGAATGGAATTAACAGAGAATGGATATGAACAAAATAGGCACACACACACAAAAAACAAAAACAAAACAAAAAAACAAACAGAGAATGGAATTAACAGGGAAGACAGAGAATCAGGTAAGTACCAAGGGGATCTGGGTGGCTGGCACGGCACAGGACCCCCATGGCGGGTACAGGCTGATTAGGGTGCTGCTGCCACCACTATTGCTGCATGGGTGCCACTGGACCCTGAATGCTGCCAGGATGGGTTTCAAATTGCTCCTGCTTCTAAGAGTCACTGCTCTAGGCTAAGAGGTGTTAGGCAAGAGTGATCCATGGCCATGTTTTGGTTATAACCCCATAACCTAGCTGATGCCCATGAAGGCTCACACAAAGGTAGAACTTGAGCTGGAGTTTAAAATAATTAATTAATAAATAATAAATAAATAACAAAATGATAATATGAGTTTAAAAATATCCACAAATCAATTAAGCCATTTGATTTAATGCAGGGAGCAAGCAACAGAACCAGAATTTAAAAAGTTTTATTTCACGTGAAGTTGGCTGATCGGGCTATGTGATATCCTGGCTTCCATCCAGTTGGAATCTTCTAGAATTCTAAATCAAGGCGCTCAGCTTCTTTCCTTATCCTGCGTCCACAGGATACACCTGTGAAGGCATCTATGAAATAGAAATAATGATAGGGTTGTGAGGATGAACTATTATAATACAAGTAAAGTTTCTAATATAGGACTTGTCACATACTATGTATTGAATAAACGTGAATTGCCTTCGTCCTACTAAATACCTTGAAGTGTTTCTTAACCTGAGAGGAGAGGATTTGCAACTTAATGGAAAACCCTGTCCTAAGATCAAAAAAAGAAATCCTAAAACTTCCTTTCTGGTATCACTGAGAAGATCATGTCAGGAATTTCTGCACCCTGGAAATTAACCCCAGGGAGAGTTGCCTCCTCTGTCCTGGGTGGAGGGCTGCTTGGTGTTGGGTACAGGGCCTGGGGGTAGTGATTAGGGGTATTCCCAGAAAACTGGACCATAAGACTATTCAAATTATCCCTCGGATTGGGACTTTCCTTTCTAACAAAGGGCTACTACCCTGGCTGCCAGATTGCTTTGCCACACCCACTCCGCCTCTCACTTTGCTCCAAGCAGATTGGAGCAAGGCCTGAATGACACGGAAGGGTCAGCTGTGTGAATGTACCGGGAACAATGCGATCCAGACAGAAGTTCAGAGCAAAGCACTGAGATGGGGACAGTCTTGGCGCCTCTGAGGGACAGAAAGCAGAGCAGGGAGGCTCCGGCATGGAGGATAAGAGGTGCTTGCCAAGAGATGTGGGTGGGGAGAGAGAGGGCAGTGGGGAGGTCACGTGGAAGCCCTGACGCATGCGTGGGAGAACCGAAAGCCACGTGATCACGCGAATCACGTGACCTGGTTTACACTTTGAGGGGATGATTCCGCTGTTATTAACGAGAGAGAATGAAGAGCAGAGGGCGCAAGAGCCCAATTAAGAGAATACTATGGTTCCAGACAGGAGATGAGGTGGCTTGGACTAGGATTTTAATAGCGGAAATGGTGAGCCATGATCTGTTTCCGAATCTATTTTGAACCAGGACCAAAGAATGAGCTGATAGGTTGGGTGCAGGGGGTGAAGGAAAAGAGAAAATGGATAACTGACTTCTAGATTTTTAAATTTTAGCAGCTGCAGCTAGAAATGCCATTTGCTGAAGTGGGGAGAAAAGAGTGAGGTAGGAAAAAATTTTGGCAGGGGGACAAGGAAAGTTTTGTTTGGGACACATTGTGTTTGATATAAATATAAGTCTAGGCTAGGGCTAGTCCAACTTTTTCTGTCAGGGCCATAGAGTCTCTGTTACACACTCTTCTCTGAATTTTTTTTTTTTCCTATTCTTTAAAAGTATAAAAAACGATTCTTAGCTTTTGGGCCATCTAAAATGGGCCACCGGTCACCTTTGGGCTGTAGTTTGCCAAACACTGATCTGGAGCTCAGTGGAGAAGGCAGAGATAGAGACGTGGATTTGGGTACCATCAGCACATAGATAGTCTTTAAGACTCACAGATAATTTCTCCCTGTGGATGAAATCATACAGGGAGGGAGATTAGATAGAGAAGAGAGGAAGGTATGACCACCTTTAACACTGAGGCAAAGGGGGCGTGGCCAGTAAAGGATACTGAAGTTGGAGAGAAATGGGTAGGCTGAGGTGGTCCATTATTTGGATTTTGCTCTGTCCTGCTGTGGACTCAGAGTCCCCAGATTTCAGTGCCCTACAAGAAAAAAGGAGCATGTCTCACTCAAGTTATGTGTTGGCTGCAGTTCCTCTGTGTCCCTGTTCCACATCTTCCTTCCAGACCCAGATGGAAAGAGAAGTGCCCATCAGAACAGGCTGCAGTGGGAACAGAAGGGCAATGGTTGAACCAGGCAAGGGCCCTTCAAGGTTCTCCTGGGATATGGCATCTGTCCCTTGCACTAACTCGCCATGGTTAAGCTTGTTGTGACTATAGGGTATGGGGGTATAATTTTTTCACAGGGACAAGCAGCAAATCGTTAGGAACAATAACACAACTACCACAAAGGGAGTGTTGTTCATGAAGCACAGAGAACAGAACATGGTCAGCTTGACCAAATGCTGTTGAGAGGTTGAATGAGATGGAGTCAGATAGTGACCACTGGGTTTGGAAATACAGAGGTCTTTTGTTGCATCAATAAGCCATTCTTCTATGTGTGCAATATTAACAAGAACTTTCTGCACTAGAAAAACATGGTATGCTAGTGTTGTCAGCCCAGTTATGTAAAAACAATTTCACTCCTTCTATGGACTTCCATGGAGCTGATTCAAGATTGATGATGCCCTGAAGTAGCTCATGGGCCCAGTAAGCGGAGGTATTTAGCTGTAAAAGTAGATGGTAACTTGAATTTTGATTTGCCCAGTCATAATTATATGCATTCTTGGAGAGGAGTCCTTGACTAAACAAACAGCAATGATTATATCTTCTGATCAAATTAGTTTAAGGGGTTTTTCTAAAGACAGAAGGAAGCATTGAATAGTAAATTTGCACTTTAAGGAAGATTCTCTACACGCCTCTATTCTATTAGTAAGATTTTCCTGCACCAACCCTCACACTTCCCCAGATCTAATTCTTTCTTCCAGAAGAATCTGTATATGAGCTTGCAAAGTGAGGGGTGGGGATCCAACTGGTGAAGCAATAGCAATGGTGCCGAACCAAAATGCTGACTCTACATAGTTTCCCCCTCAACCTGCTTGGGGTTAGGGACAACTACAGGAGTCATTTTGATATTTGTCAAGGTACCTGAAAAACCTGAAATCTCTCCATGTGATCTGTATCTCCTTTAGCATTTTAAAAGAATTGTTCTTTTAAAATGTAAATCCTAACCTTTTTTTAAAAAAGTTTAGAATATTGGGGTTAGTAAGGAGATCTTAAAGATATTTGAGTTCAACTATTAAAAAAAATGAGAATCTTTACAACTCTGAGAAATTTAGCCTCTTTCCACACATATCTGGAGAAGAGTGATCTAATTATCTGACTACCGGAGGGACAATGATGAACTCCTTTAATTTGAGAAAGTCTTTTCTGATGTTTAATTCAAAATTACCTTCTCATAACTTCCACTAGTAATCTATGCTGGGGATAATATAGACGTGGCATGATAAGAAATATATTTGATCTGTGTCCCTAGTTCCTGGCATGGAGCTCCTTAAGCCCTCCCAATTTCACCAGTGATGGGAGTGTCCTCTCTTGCTTGTAATGACAGCCCTTTTCCATCACACCTGAGATTAAGCTAACGAAGGATTCAGAGTGGGGTTTCCAGATAGTGTCAAAATGGGGGCTGGTCAGACATTGTGACATCATTGAGAGTCAGAAATTTCAGCCCCTGCCCCCAACAGGCAGTGGACATTGAGTTCAATCACCAATGGCCAATGATTTAATCAGTCGAGCCTACATAATGAATCCTCCATAAAAATCCCCTAAATAACAAGGTTCAGGGAGGTTCCAAGTTGGTGAACACTTCCACGTGCCAAGAGGATGGCACACCTCGATTCCACAGTGACAGAGGCTCTTGTGCTTGGGGGCTCTTTCAACCTCACCTTATGTATGTCATTGTCTGGCTGTTTGTTTGTATCCTTTATAATAAATTGTAGCACTAAGTATAGTATTTTGCTGAGTTCCGAGTTGTCCTAGCAAATTATAGAAACCACTGGGGTAGGAGGGAGAGGATGAATACCCCCAAATTTTCAGCCAAGTCAGACTGAAATGCAGGTGACCTGGGAACCGGGTACTTAGAATTGATGTCTTAAATGAGGGCTGTCTGTGGGACTGAGACTAGCTCCATGTGGTTAATGTCAGAATGGTATTGAGTTCTTGGATGCCTAGTTGGATGCCTTAGAGAATAGGGTAAACCTTTTCCATCTTTTACATGAGAATCCTTTGAATATTCTTACATCTTCTCTCTTTGGTCAAACATCTTTAATTGTTCAAATTCTCGCAAGATAATTGACCAACAGTGCTTTATCCATTGTAACCCTCTCGACCACTCCTCAGAAACTCTAGTTTGTCCAAATCCATCTTAAAATGTTATATTTAAAATTCAGCACATTTCTCTAGATAGGACCCCGTGAGGCCACTAGCAGTGCGCTAGGCAGTTAATAATTAATATTTGTTAGTTAATAATGTTATGCTCCTTCCAATGGACATCCACTGAATATTTGTCCAATTGTGGTCAGGCAGGGGAGGGTGGCCAGTGACAGCTCTGGTCTTCTTTGCTAATACTGCCATCAGTTCAGCTCTGACCCAGTCCTGTACACCCTACCCAACAAGTACTAGTCCTTCTATAGGCAACTGCACCTACCTCCTTGCAAAACAGTTAGTGACCCTCAATATAATTCAAATATGTCCTCAGAGAGCTCAGCTCTCGCTGTGATGATCTTACCACGAAGTATCACATTCAACCAAGAATTCTGATAAATGACATTTTCTCCCTCTCTTTACACAGCCAGTGATATTGAGCATCTTATATTTTGGAGCGCTGGACACCTGCATGGTGAATGCACCCCTAAATCCAGCTCTGGATCTGACCAACTACTTCTTGTGTTCTGAGTCACTGCATTGATGGTGTTGGTGTCAATTTTTAAAAACCCTGTCATGGCGCCACTCTTACGAGAGCATGCTTAACTTATAAACAGATTTTTTTCCCCACATGAATTACCAAGCCAGTCTCCCTCATTCTACATTTCCATGATTGACTTCTGTGAGCCTAAATATAGAATTTTACATTTAGCCTAGTTGACTTTCACTTGGAGTCAATGAACCATTTTAATTTGCCAAAAACATTTTGAATTTTTATTCCAGTATGTCAGTATAGGATATTTTAGGCAATATTGCATTATCTGATTGACAAACACTTGGAGGTAGAAACTTGATCACTATGTTAGGGAAATTCCTCTCTTTAAACTCTAGAGCTGTGCTATCCAAACAGTAGTCACTAGCCGTGTATGGCTTTTGAGCCCTTAAAATGTGACTAGTTTGAATTGAGATATGTTATGTCCAATATACATGTCCAGATTTCAAAGAGTGAGTGAAAAAAAAATGTAAAATATCACATGAATAACTTAAAAATATTGAAGATGTTAAAATCATAATATTTGGGGTATATTGGGTTAAATAAAATCTGTTATTAAAAGTAATCTTGCTGTTTCTTTTTACTTGTTAAAATGTGGCTAGTAGAAAATTTAAAATTATACCTGTGGCTCACATAGTATTTTTGTTAGACAGCATTGCTCTAGAAATTGGAGTGACCTCTAGCTTCCTTCCATTGCAATTGGATAATTAGAACAAGCTTGCATTGGGGCCAGGGCAGTCGAAATTTGAATGGGAGACGCAGGGTGTTGGTTTGTAGATGAAAGTGGGAGGGAGAGGTCATATCTGGCAGCCAGAGAGCAGCATGATACTAAGTGGGTAGGAGGCTCAAAAATAGGCAGAAGACAAGAGAAAGTGTCTAGCCAGGTGGGGAGAGGACACTCAAGTTGAACGGCAATTTTCTGTGATTCCCATGTCATATGTTTCTCCTGCTGATGTCTTGGTTGGATGACAGTTTATCTACACGGCTCACACCGCAGATTTCCCCCAAGTCTGCCCCATTAGGAAAGGTACCCCATTAGGTACCAACCTCCTTCACTAAGCCACCCACCTTCTACCAGCAGAAGGAGAAGAGAGAAGGTGGACATGTGTGCCCTGTCCTGTTCCCTACTATCAGCTCTTTTCTACTGAGAACCTTCTCCTCTTTTAGCATCAGTAAAATATTTGCCAGACAGTCGTGTGCTGGGGTTCTGCCAATTCTACAATTTCTGGTCCTAAAACATCATTTATCATGCAAATGCAGAAGTAGCATTTTTTTCAAGATTCTTTTTCTGCCTTCAGTAGTATCCTTGACTTTGGTTTGGAGAGAGACACTCTTTCACTGGGGGACAGCTATAGTGAGCCCCTGGGCAGAGGAAACATTTGTGTGATGCATGTGTGTCTAAGTGCGCTGTCACTCCCACAAAGAATGCAAAATCAAGCAAGAGTTAAGCTAACCACCAGTATCTACACCTTGGTATTGCATTTTCTGGTATGTTAATTCCTATGCAAACAGGAGGTATTAGTCCCATTCAATATAGGAACCTGTTTATAACCAAGGTTTCACACTGGCAGCTTGAGGCCAAAGGTGGCCCTCAGACATAGTTTGTTTGGCTCTTGCAAATGTTTTAAAAAATTAAGCCAACCTGGGAAAATCAGAACATCTCACATAGAACTCCAGAGTTTGAGCTTCACTTGAAATCTCCCAAGATAACTCTCAGTCTGTATTTATTCCCCAGGGAAATAATGGGCTGGAATGGAGTCACCAAAGCCCCATTACCCTGGGCCCATGGTCTTCGCTGCCAGGTCCCCGGGCACAAATTGTCTAGCTGGTTCATGAGTCATCTGTTGCCACTACTAGATCTTCCTGATTGGATATCAGAGTGGAGTGTAGGCTCAGGAAAGTGGTATGAGGCAGGCTTTTTGGGTGATGGTTTTATTGCCAGGGAGATATGAGAGTTAGGTGAAGGTGGAGGTTCTGGAAGGCAGAGATTAAGGTTCTGGAAGCTGCACCTAACTGGATATACTTCCAAGAGGTGGAGCAGAAAGAAGGGGAGGGAAAAGCTTAGAGTTTGGGAGGAAGGAGTCTCACTCATATTCCAAGTTCACCTGTCATTCACTTCTGCTGCCTAGTTAGTGGAGCTATCAACAAGGAAATCTAGACCAGGTACAGTGGCTTATGCCTGTAATCTCAACATTTTGGGTGACCAAGGTGGGAGGATCGCTTGAGGCCGGGAGTTTGAGATCAGTCTGGACAACATAGTGAGACCCCATCTCTATAAAAAAGTTTTTTAAAAAATTAGCTGGGCATGGTGGCATGCAAGTGTAGTCCCAGCTACTCAGGAGGCTGAGGTGGGAGGATTGCTTGAGCCCATGGGTTTGAGGCTATGTTGAGCTATGATCGTACCACTGCACTCTAGCCTGGGTGACAGAGTGAGACCCTATCTCTAAAAATTAAAATAAAAAAAAACAAACAAAAACCAAGGAAATCTAGTTAGTCACTAGTCAAAAACTATGCAATTATTCAGCTTACTTACAATAGTAGACTTAACCATATGCAAGGATGCATTTCCCCTACTAATAAAAGGAAAAGACCGGGTAGCAAGAGCATGGGGTCTTTGTGAGTGAGGAAAAGTTGACAATGGCTTGCTGGCCTATTAGCTGGATGAAAGGACACCTAGATCTCCAAGTGACAAAGGGAAATCCGGTCCTGCCCTCTTATTCTGAGGTCCAAAGAGCAGGTCAGTACTACTCTTTATATAGGGCAGCCTGGGGCAAGAGAGTGAGGGATAAAAATGGCTTCTTTGTTTCAAAACAGCCATCTCTTATGGTATCTTATATTCTTGGCTTTTATTATAAAGCAACTGAATTTTTAAAAAGCATAGTAGAAAAGGGACAATAACCCAAAGACAACAGTAGATTCTTTTTTTTTTTTTTTCTTTTAAGCACATTGGATAAAAAGAGATTGCTTAAGAAAGACCCGAGTTTCCTTCACATTCCTGCGGTAGAATCTAGATAGCTTTTGTAAACTTGAGTCTACTCTGGTTGCTGTTTTTGGCCTAGTTTCCTTTTAGAGCAAGAAAAGAGTTTTGAAAGTCCCTCAGCCCGCGGTGTTTTCTCTCCTTAGCAATTTCTAATTCAGGAGGCCAATTTTAGCCACACTGGGCAGGTTCGTGAAGCAGGGTCGAGTCTCACATGTTCTGTAATGACCGGTTTTTATTGAGGACCAAATTGAACCCTTTTAAATTACTGTGTCCCTAGCCAAGATCTAATTTCCCAATGACAGTAATCATAGTGTGGGCTGCTCATGAAGTCATACGTTTGTTTGCCTATTCGTTTGGAGTGGGAATGAGACTGAAAGAAAGACCTGTTAGAAATTGAGAAATTGACTGACACTCTATTTGCATTTTGTTATAAATGTGTTCCGTGATTTTTCTCTTGAATTCCAAACCTGATAAATGTAAATCAGTGAAAAGCAAAAAAAAAAAAAAAATGGCTGTGCCTCATTCATTATAAGAAATATCCCAGTCCTTTTGTTCTTGAAGTTTCTCTTCTCCATTTTT